TATAACCTGAATCTCTCACTTACTGCTCATTGAATTGAGAAAGCTCCTCGGATGAGGAGCGAAACGTCTTCAGTTACAAATAAAGTCCAGTTGTTTTTGTATTGAACGTTTTTTGAAAGTAATAAACAATGTGGCAATGCTAGACCCTCCAGAAGGGTCAAGGAGACAAATCTCTCCTCTGAAGACCTAAACAAGCTCTGCATCGTGGCTGACACCATCAAGAATCTATGCGCTGCACAGGCAGTCTGCTCTGCCCACATCTCAGCCTGGGCGACAGTGCTACAAAGGCATATGTGGCTGAAACTCTCTTCATCCATCCCAGATGAGATTAAAAATGAGCTGTTGGAGGGTCCGATTAGTCCGAACGGACTATTCAGCTCTCAATTTCAGTCGGTCCTGGACCAGCTGCAGTCCTCCTTGGACGCCTTGGAACAAGTCAGATAATATGTGACCCGACCTCGCCCCCACTCCCCTCAAATGGCTGAATGCTGGCAGGAGTGCAGACACCAGCGCCAGCTGCAGAGATGCTCCATGGCCACAGCTACGTCTTTGGGGCCCCCAGCCGCCACCTTTCCCAGAGGACAGCCTCCACGGTCCCCACAGCGAGCCAGAGCCAGCAGAGCCATCAGCTGGCATGTCACTGGTCCAACCCACCCCAAGACACGCAGAAAAGACAGCAGAAAAAGTGACAGATTGGGCGAGATGAGTGTAATTTCATATGTCAAAGTTTTGAAATAAAATACAAACTTCACTCAAAGAGCAGAATCCTCTATTCAGACAGGCAGAACCCCCCTGTCGCTCCTCTTTTACAAGCATCCTCCACTCTGAGTAGAAAGATAAATTTTAAATAAATGTTTAAAAGACACCAAATTTCCACTCCTCCCATATAAAAACCATAAGAGCCTATGGTGAAAGTGCACGCTCCCCATGCAGACATTTTTCCTCATTTTTCTCCTCCTTCAGTCTTTTCTTCTCACCTTGGGGTGGCTGTGGCTGAGTGGTTAGAGCAGTCATCCTTCAATACGAGAGTTGGGGGTTCTAATCCACCAGCAGTCACATGCTGAAGTGTCCCTGGGCAAGACACTGAACCCCTCATAGCCTCTGATGTATGTCCCATTGGTGTATGAATGTGATAAAGCTCTGATTAGTCTCTTTAGGATGATTTGTTCACTTATCTTTGTAGAGATCTAGTAGAGTGCTGTATGAATGGGTAAATGAGGGCACAGATTTTAGTGTAAAGTGCTTTGAGTATCTTGAAATAAGATAGAAAGGTGCTATATAAGTACAGTCCATTTACCATTTACAGTCCATTCACCTGAGGGTGAAGATGGGTGTTGAGGACTCGGACACCCTTGGTGGAAAGGCAATCTTTGTTATTGTTGTTGAAAAACACCCGAACCCCATGATCTCCACATACCCAGAATATGAACCCGCAGTAGAAACACCTGCCCTACTCGGGGGTTCTCCTCCTCACTTGTCAGCCCCTCTTCCTCACCTACAGGTGCAGGGGAGTGCTGGAGATGAGCCTCCTCCTAAGCAACACTCGTTTTATTCGTCTGCTCAACCCATACAACCCCCCCACCCAGACGCGGTTGTGGGGTGGTGTGAAAATGACAGGCAGCCCTTTTGCTTGTCATTTCCCACGCATGACACAAATCGTCCATGCGCGGCCACTTTCACAGCGAAGCTCGGCGTGGCGGCATACATGCAAAATGAGCAAATGGATGTACCATTTAATCACCAGAGGTTACACACTGCAGTTCACAGGAGCACCCCCAAGGTTCAACAGAATGTTAGAAACTCGATTAACATCTCCAGAACAGGGTCTGATTTTACAAACCAAATTAGATGAGCTCCTGATGAAAGACATGATTTCTAAGGTTCCTCTCGGAGAGGAAGAGGCCGGCTTTTACTCCTGGTACTTCCTGGTTCAGAAAAAGACAGGAGGTTTGAGGTCCATTCTGGACCTGTCCTCTTTCAACAAACAAATTATGGAATGATCATTTCATATGTTGATGACAAAATGAGTGCTTGAATGTGTCAGGTAGAGGGATTGGTTTGTCTCAGTGGATCTGAAAGATACCTACTTTCATATCCCAATAATAAAGAAACAAAGGAGGTTCTTGCATTTTTCCTTCTAGGGAGTTCAGTACTAATACAACCATCTCCTTTTTGGTTACTCGCTTGCCCTGCTCACATTCTCAAAATGTGTGGAAACGGCATTACAGCCACTGCGCACAGCTGACATGAGGGTCCTCTTTTATCTGGATGACCTTCTCCTCCTGACCCAGTCCAGAGAACAAGTAGAAATCCAGATGAGGTCTCTGGTGTCACATCTATCTCATCTGGGTTTCACAATAAACTGGGAGAAGAACTCAATGGTTCCCGCTCAGCTCATCTTTTTTCTGGGGGTGGACCTAAACTCGTTCACCATGACAGCCCAGTCACAACAGAGGAGAGAATTGCTTCAATGAGTCAGGGTTCACAGGTCGATGATGGTGCTGATGGTCATGCGTTTACTACGAACGATGTCATCAGTTCATGTTGTCGTTTCGCTAGGTTTAGTCCACATTAGGAAACTGCAGAGGTGGTTCAACCGCCAGCACCTCGACCCCTCTTGCTACAAGCACCGCATGGTTAACATTCCCTAGGGGTGGACCTGAGTCACTGGGGAAACCCACAAATCCTGGTGGGAGTGGTCCTCCTGGGCAAAGTGACATAATTCACCTCCGTGTTCACTGACACATCCCTCTCAGGATGGGGGAGGACATGTCTGTCCCAGATGGCAGGGAGGAGGTGGCTACCCCACATGTCTTTCCACATAAACATGTTGGAACTTCTTACTGTGGTGAAAGTGATCAGACACTTTGTCCCGCTGCGTCAGGGTCATCACGTGATGGTCCATATGGACAACAGAACCGCTGTAGCTAACATAAATTGCCAAGTGGGTGTTCACTCAGCTTAGCTCTTGGCGCGGCCAGAGACCTGCTCTGCTGGACACACACACATCTACGTTCATCAGAGCAGTTTACATCCCAGGCGTGCTAAACAAAGGAGCAGATATTATGTCCAGAGAGGGCCCCCAAGACATGGATTGGAGCCTCAATCCGGACAAAATCCTCCAGATTTGGAACAGGTTCGAGAAAGCGGACGTGAATCTGATGGCCACCTGGGAAAACACCCAGTGCAAACTGTTTTTCTCTCTAAACCCACTGGATGTACCACCGCTGGGGGTGAACGTGTTTGCGCACAAACCATGGCTTCAGATGTTGTTTTATGTTTTTCTTCCGACTCCGCTAATAGCACAGCTGTTGAAGCAGATTCGAGGGGAGCGATTGAGGGTGATTCTGATTGCTCCAGAATGCACGGGAGCTCCGTGGTTCCCAGTTCTTCAACAGCTGATGAGCAAACCGTGGAAACTACCGTGTCAACAGGATGCTCTCTTACGGTCGGGAGGAGCAATCAGGAGTCCCCCAGTTATAGGTCAGTGCATCTGGGCCTGGCCACAGAATGGAAACGTTTAGAGAGATTGGGTCTCTCTCAGGATGTGGTTTGCATGATCCAGGGTGCATGCACTTCCACTACAGCTTGCAACACATCCAAGTTGACGGCTTTTCAGAAATGGTGCATGGAAAAAGATGTGGACCCGATCTCATACCCCTTAAGTTGCATATTATCCTTTCTGCAACTGCTGATGGACAGAAACCTGGCCATCAGCACGATTAAAACATATGTTGCAGCCATTTCCTCCTGTCATGAGGGTTTTAACGACAGAACAGTTTTTAATCACCCTCTGATTAAATGTTTTCTGAAGGGTATGAGCAGACACAGGCTGGTGTCACACGCATTACTTCCACAATGGAACTTAGTACTCGTACTCTGTGCACAGTCTAAGGAACTGTTCGAAATTTTGGATCAAATAATGCTGAAATTTCTGTCTTTTAAGAAAGATTAGCTGTTAGCTCTGACATCAGCGAAGAGAGTGAGCAACCTCTCAGTCCCGTCGGTCACCCTCTCCTATCTCAGAATCCAAGGCAACGAGAACTCAGTAGTGCTTCAACGAAATCCGTCTTTTACACCTAAAAGCATCACGAGTTCTTTAAGATCCAGAGTTGTAACACTGGATGAGTTTTTTCTCCCTTCACATAACTCTGGAGGAGGCACAATCTCACCTCCTCTGTCCTGTTCATGTTCATGCACTTTACTGTTACTGTTACTTAAGGTACAGCCGCTTTGCGTAAATCTGAAAGGCTGTTCATTCATTTTAGAGGTCAGTCAAAAGGTCAACCTTTATCTCCTCAGCGCTTGTCTCACTGGCTATGTAAAAATATATTTCTAGCCTATACTGAGACTGGTTTTCCCCCTCCTGATGGACTCAGGGCTCATTCCACCAGAAGGATGTGGAGTTTTATCAAACTTTGTTGTTCAATAAAATTTAGCAGACTGAGAACTTTGTTAAAAAACACATAGCAAAGTTTATTTCTCTTCTGCAGAAGGGAGAACACATGAACAAAAACGCAGCCCAAGAGTTCTTGTGTGTTCTCCAAAAAATATGAGCAGTACGGCTTCATTTAT